TTTTTTTTGGTACCGGGGGTCAAACTCGGGTCCTTGTGCTTGGGAAGCAGGTGGCAGAACCACTGAGTTAAATCCCTGGCCCCTCATCAGACACTTAAAGAGGATCCTAGGCTAAAACTGGGCAGAAAAATGGCCATCCATGAAGCCTTCAAAGTTTGGGGTTTAAAGCACATCAGGTGGGTTCTTTGTCTTTCTCCCACCCTGTCTTGTCCAGATCCCAAGGCCCAGAAGAGGGGCTGGCAGTAGGGTCTCTGAAGGTCCTACTTCCTACTCTGAGGCAGGCACTCCAGCTGTGGCCTTCCCACAGGCCCAGGCATGGCTGCTGGGCAGTGTCCTTTTCTTCCTGGGCACTGCTGGCCAGCTTAGGACGAGCTCTGCTGCAGAGAACCCCATCAGCTCCTCAGGGACAATGCCTGCTTCCTCTTCTGCAGGCCCCAGCCTCTGCCCAGAGCAGGGCCAGGCAGAGGCTGCAGGCTCAGAAGAAGGCCCCTCTCCCGCAGGCTGGCTGGTCATGACGCACACCAGAGGGCGAGGCGGGTACCTTGAGGTAGCACTGGTACGTGTTGAAAACGAGTGGCTTCCCCACATTGAACTTGCGCTGCATCTCCAGCGTCAGGCGGCTGACGGCGGGCTGGAAGTAGGTCTGCTCGGCATCCACCATCAGCCGCACACCCACACCCACGGCTTTCTGAAAGGTGCAGGGCTCAAGAGAGTACAGCGCAAGCACGACAGATGCCTCCCCTTGGCTCAAGCCCCAGCCCAGACCCCACACGGGGTGGCTCGAACCTTGGCCAGCACATCCATCCTCTGTAGCATCCGTGTCATCTGCAGCTCCTCCTCCTCGGTGAACCGTGACAGCAACGGCTCCAGCTGTCCTGTCTAAGACCCGGGTCACATCTCTCAGTAGTGCTACCCTCCTCCCCTTCACACGGGGCAGGGGGATCAGCTGGGCCTGCCAGGGAGGCTGCCCTCCCTGTTCTCCCCTGTACATTCAGTGACGACACCCTGGACTCTCACGGCAGCTGTTCTGCTGTCAAGACGCCTGGGCCTGGCGACACCAGGAGGGCACCCCGCACCTGTGCCAGCCGCTGCGCCCCAGGGGATTTGCTTGCACAGCCTCAGAGGGTCCTACAGCTGAGGGGCTCCCATCACCCCAAACAAGGCAGAGGAAGTGAACTCTGACCACCCAATAACTGGACAGGCTGAGCTAGCAACAAGGAGAGGGCTCCAGAGGGAAAACCTGTGGCTACAGGCAGACGGGACATCCAGGGAGAGACTACCTGGCAGCAAGGGACCAAGAGAGCGGCCCTCAAGGAGCCAGGCAGGTAAGCAGTGGGCTGGTGACTTGACCTTCCCCGACTGGCCTTCCATGGCCCCGCTAGGGTTCTCCTGGGTGCCACACAGCACGTCCCAGTTTCTCCCACTGGACACAAACACCACTTTATTCTTGGCCATGTATTTGGTGTAGAGCTGCACCCCATGTGCCACTCCCAGGCGCTGGGGCAGCGGCTGGGCCTCAGTTGGCTGGGGCTGGAAGTGTGAAAGAAGCATCTGCAAGACAGTTCCCCGATGGCCTCTGCTCCTCTCAAAGCCCAGCACAGGCGGGGTCAAGCAGTTTCATCCTCTCCTCTAACACTGGCTGCCCTGGTAATGGGGCAGAGGTGAAGCAATGTGACTTCTGAGGCTAAACTGGGGAAAGCAGCACGGCTTCTGCCCGTCCCTCATCTCAGGAGATGAGGGTCTTCGGGGCTACCTGCCATGCTGGGAGGAAGCCCAGCTGAGGGGCGGCATCCACCTCCAGACCTCCGTGTGATGCGGCCCCAAACCCTATGAGGACCCGGGCCCAGCTGAGCCCTGCCAGCCCAAAGGCATGAGAAGGAATAAAATGCTGCCGTTTCTGGCCACAAAGGTTGGGGTGACCTAACGCCACAGGATTAGATGACTCAGAAGAAACCTCTGCAGACACCGTCTCTAGGTAGTGTCTTAAGGCTCCACATGGGTCTTCTTCCCCATGGGTAGAGGATGGCAGTCTCCTTGGTCACACTGTGTCCCAAGGATGGGCAGCCAGAGACGCACACGGTGAGCTGAATTCCCTTCTTGGCTGCGTGCCATCTGAGCTGGGGCCCAGGAGGGGAGCATTACCTGCATATTGGGGACCACCAGGTGCCTAGAGAGCTGGGTCCTGCTGTTGATGAGGCTGCTCCAGTCCAGCAGGTCCACAGTGCTGAGGGAGAGGGCGCATCAGCGCAGGAGGTGCACACAGCTTTACCCACGGCACTAGGGTCATTTGGAGGTCCCAGGCACAAACCAGCCCATACCGCAAAAGAGCACCCCAAACCCAGCCACCACAAACCCCATCCCTATTCAGTTTTAAAATACAAAACATAAATATTGTTCTCCACTTAAAAAATGAACCCCTCCCCACATTCCTGTGGTGGCTACAGAAACACAAAGCATGCACTGGGAATGCCGAACCAGGCTCAGGGAAGAGGTAAAGGTAGGAAACAGGCAGCTGGCAGACAAGGAGCCTGGTCCCGAGGGTAGGGCACGGGACTCAAGGAGGGCGCGCCGACACTCACTCTGGAACCCGAACCCCACGAAGGCCGGTGTCTGCAGTGTCCAGCTGCAGCCCCAGCATCCCAGCTCCCTGTCAACTCCTCAGTATGTCTCGGGGCAGGGGTCCCTTCGGCGCTGTCACCCTAGAGGCCCACCCTCTTAGCAAAGTGACCCGACCTGGGAGAAGCTGCTGGAGCTTAGCTGGAGCCATGGCCACACCAAGGAAGAAGATGCCCTTGTTAGGCAGGGGCAGTTCTTACCCGGACACTCCCAGGGTCTCCGGCGTGAACCAGGCTTCTATCTCGGGCCTGGCCGCAATGCCCATCTTCACAATACTCTCCTTGAGGAGAAGGTGGGGTCAATGCTGATGCCCACTAATGTCTCAACACACCCTCCACTGGTCCGTGGTGCACCCGACAGGGTCCATGTCGGGCTTGTGCTTCTGCTCCATAGACAAGTCCCCGCCCTCCTGCTGACTTTCTTGCTTAGGGCGCCATCTGCAGGGCAGCTCCCCGCCCTCCTACCAGCACACCCAGAGTCCTTTTGTGAAGGTCCTCCTTTTCCTCCCTCCTCCCCTGGCTGACCCCAGCAGCACAGCCCCAGGACTGGACTCTTCCCCGGGCCCCATGGTGCCCAACCTGCAGGGCCACCACTTCTAGCTTCGTATCCATGGCAGCACGTCCAGCCTGCCCTTGCTCCGCAGCCATTTGGTGAAAGAACCGTCTCCACTTGGTTAGCACATCTGAGAACTGCAGCTGGAAAAGCAAGCCTGAGCTACCATCTGTGACACAGACCTGGCTCTCCAGTCCCGTGTAGCCTCTGGGGCCGAGGACAGGGCTACAGCTACACCCTCTCCCACCCAGTACCCCAGCTCACCACCTCAAAGTTACAGCCACGTCTGCTGGCATAAAATGCCCACAGCAGCCCCGAGGTCTTGGAAAGCCTCTCCAGACAGAACTTTCCAGCACTTACCAGAAACTGGGGTCTCCCCAGTGCAGTAAGCTTAATGGCTGAGAAGCCATCATCGCTGGCTCCACCTGTTAGAAGCCAAAGGAAGAGCTCTAAGGGTTCTTGGAAACAAGGTGCCAGCATGGTAGAGCAAGGACCAGGAGCCCATGCTGGCTTGGTCTTGCAGCTGCGTCTCTAGCTACGGTGTTGTCTTGACCCCCAAACACCCCAGCATACCTCAGACGCCACCACAGAGGTGGGAAAGGTGACTCAGTAAAGTGTATGGGCCACATAGTGCAGGAAGACAGCAGGCAAAGGAGCCAGGGAGGCTCCATGGGCTTCCCAGCACTCCCTGCCTCAGTTTCCTCCTCTATGCCAGCAACAGGTTGTCCATGCATGGGTCATAGCACACAGAAACACTAAGTAGAGCCGAGGCTGGAGCACACAGGGTGCTCATGTTTGCTTCTGCTTGGCATCGTTTCCCAGGCAAGGGACAGGAGACACCTCTCACCAACATGGCGGGACACTGGCCTGACTGCTGGGGCCCCCAACCCAACTGATGGTGTTTCCCAGAATCAGTCTTTGATCTGAAAACGTTCAGAAGGCACAAGTCCACCAGCACTCACCGACTCTGTGGCTCAACGTGCCTCCCCCTGCCCTCTAGAACCCTGAAGGCCATACCGGGGAGAGGTTCTCTGGCATAGAGGATGGACTCCCCAAGGATAGGGGTGGCTCAGTCCACTGACTACCCCCAGAGCTCCATAACTGGCCACCACACCTCAAGGGGCAAGAGTGTGGGACAGGGCAAGAAGGGGCTGGATGTGGCACAAGTCCAGTATGAGCTGGGATCAGCCCCCTCTGGGGCCCACCTTCTTCACCAACACGAACCTCAGGGACCTGCCCAGGGACCTTCCCAGACTAACGCCTGGCAGGTACGCAGCCAGCACAGAGGGCTCTACCTGAGGCTTCAATGCAGTGCAGGAAGGCCTCCATGTGGCTGTCACACTTGGCTTCATTGGCGTAAAAGTAGGTGCGGGCACTGACAACACCATCCCTGCGGTCTCCAAAGGCACGGTGGGCTTGGTACTGCTTTTCCCTCTTATTGGTGCCTGGAAAGGTGGACACGCTGCAATCCTCCACTGCGGCGCACACAGAGGCCGAGCCCCAGGGCCGCACCACCCTCAGCACAGGCTCCGCCTGGGCTCCCGCACTCCGCAGGCCACAGCTCCCCCTTGCTCCCCTCCTATCCGTCACCCATGTGCCCCTTCCTCGCTGGTCCCCTAGCTGGAGTGCATGTACCCTTGGTCCATCCTGAGCATGGGGCAAACCAGGACAAGAAGGCCAAGGCTCCAGCACCTGCTGAAGGCTGAGGGGCCTGAGAGTCTACTGAGGGGCCTGTAAGAAATAAGTAGGACCCGTTCTTTGCCAGGGAGCTCTCCGGTGTGTGAGGGCACACAGAGCCAGACCAAGAGCACTGGGCACAGGGAGGAGTGTGGGGCACTGTCCTCCACCCCAGGGATTGCTTGGGCCAAGAACCAAGGTGTCTCCTGTGTCACCAAGGCACACATGGGTGTGGGAGAGTATCTGCCTCTTACTCACCACTGCTGTCCCTCTCTGCTGCAGAGGTGCAAGACCTGCAGGGAGGAGGAAGAGGCAAAGATCAGGGTCATACTGCCTAGGCTGCAGGTGATAAGAGGCAGAGAGAGAGCGCTCGCGCGAGGGGAAGATGAGGCTGAGGCGTGGATCCTCCCAAGAACATGACAGGGCTGGCCCCAAGACACAGCCCAACTGGGAGTTAGCCCAGGCAGGCCTAGCCCCACCCCAGGCTTCGGGTATAACCACCTGGGCCAGGGAAGGGCAGCAGCTCTGGGGCCCTGGAACCCCATGTCCTTAAGAGCCTCCAGTTTCTTGGGGGTGTTGCCACTCCCTGTTGGCAAAGAGTAATTAAAACTATCTTCCTGGATTTCCAGAACAACCCAGGGCGTGCTCTTCCAAAGAAAGGTAGGAATACAGAGCCACACATGGTCAAGAAGAATGGAGGCCACAGACCACCTGCACACAAAGTCCCCCAAATCCAGCAGGGAGGCTCCCTCGCTCTGACCTCCCTCAAGCTGTCAAGTCTCAGGGTCCTGTGAGGACCACAGCTCTAGGCTCTGGCCTCCATGCACTCCCTCAGCTGTCACTGTCTGGCCTGCCCTACCCCATGGCCACTGGTCTCTCTCTCCTCCACTGCACACCCTCCAGGTGTCATTCTCCCCAGCAATGCCAGGATTCCTGCCAGAACCACAGAAGAAGCCGTCCTCCTCCTCAGAGTTCCCGGGGTGCAGGTCCATGGCTGTGTGCCCTGGGGGACAGCACCTGGCTGGCTGTTATGAAGGGGACATTCACCCTGGCCCTATCCTGTTGGACCCAACCTGGCTTTGTCTATCATCAGCCTTTGTATTTAAAGCTGTATTAAATCAGTTGCCTCAGAGAGACAGAGCTTAGCCTTGTGACCAGGAGTATCGGGGCCTGCTTATGACTCATAGGAAAGGACAACAGTTTCTTCCCTACCATCCTCTGGGGCAAAGGTAGAACCAGAAATGCACCTTCACAGGGTTCGTGTATCAAGGGGCCTTGCCTGTGGTGGCTTCTGCCCTCACTGCTCAGGAAGCAAGTCCTGGGCCACCAAGCCACATGCCAGGAACCCCTCCCCTCAGCCCCGACTTCTTCCTCAGGGCCCTAATCTGGGGACTTTGAGCCAAAACATGCAGATCAGGACCCAGAAGTCATAGTGGGGCCAGGCCCTAAGGGCCTAAGACTCCTCACATGGCACCACAGCTCACAAGGCCGCAGCCTGGAGGCAGAAGCTGGGTAGGCAGCTACTGCTCCAACCACCTCATGCTGACGAGATGTAATAACAGAAGAAAAGAGGGGTAAATGTCACATGTGACAGTGTTGTACTCTAACGAGTAAGCAGGCTGGCCCTGAATTGACCTCCTTGCCGGTCCCCTCCTAAGGCCCCTGATGTAGATATCAGCAGGCCCAGTCTCAGGGACAGCCCCACCCCTTCAAGCAGAGGCCCAGGCACAACCAAAAGTTCTCACGGCCAGGAAGGACAGACTCCGGGACCCTGCGGCCCAAGTAACCCCCAATGGGTAAGTTCAGCTCTATAACCATGAAGCCCACAGTCTAGATAACATGTCTGCTGCGCTTTCACCACCAAACATCACTGTTGGGCCTGGCCCCCATCTTTTCTGCGCTTCCTTGAGTCAGGCCAGGGACTATGCCATGGCCTTCACTGAGAATGGTGGCCTCTGCAAGAGAACAGCCTACGGGGCTTGTGACAGGATGGGTTGGGAGGAAGACAGAGCTCCCGGCCTCCTGCAATGGATGCTGAAGCAGTTCCCCACACAGGGGTCTGTGGGGCTGATCACTGCTGCCAGGGTATACCTGGAGGGGCCTGCAGGCCAACGGGTGTGGACGCTGAGAGGCACCTGCATGGCCACCCCCACAATGGTCTGGGCCCTCTGAAGGTAGAGCTGCCAGCCAAGCTGGGCATGCATCCTTACCACCTGCCTCTGGCATTGGATAGTTGTCACTCTGTTAGGTCAGGAAGGGACCCCCCACTTATGTCCCAGAGCCTGAGTGGGGCTCCTGCAGGATAAGCAGTCAGCAGCAGCGGGGCAGCCCAATGGAGGGAGGCAAAGCCTTTGTCGGTGGTGGTGGTGGAGCAAGGCAAGGCACACTCACCCACCTCCAAAGGGCCGGGTGCAGGGCAGGGAGGAAGTCAGGCTGCCTTAGGAAGGGAGTGTTTTCCTATCAAAGGTGTCCTGAGAACTGTCCTTGTGAAACCTCAAGATCTTCACCCAGCTCGTATCGATGCTACACAGCATGTTGGTTATTCACAGCGGCCTCAGTAAAAGCTGAAGCCTGGCAGTGAGCCTCACAAGGGTGCTGCCAGTGGAGTACCCCACCTTCGGAACAACCAATGGCCAGGCAGGGGCTGGGCTCCCCAGGCCAATCAGCTGTGGGCCACTGTGCTCAGGCAGGGCTGGGACATTCTGTTCTAGGGCTGGAGGCCTCATGTGACTGCCTTTTCCTACCCCTCCTCCGCAGCCCTGGTGGGAGGGCTGCGGGGTTTGGGGGAGTGGGGTGGGGCAAAACAAACATGGAGGCCTGAAAGGGTCCACAGTGGGCCTGTCCCAAACTTCAAGTGGGTCGGCACAGTGGCAGTCAGGGCTGGGAGCACCCCAAATCCCTGTGAGGGCCAAAGCACCAGCACTTTGCCAAAGGAAGGGCTGGTCTTTCTGGGACCTCCTATGAGTCAATCACTATCCTAGAGGGCAACTTCACCCTGTCCTTCTGTCCCGCTGCCCAAGAGGGCAGAGTAGCAGAACCTGTCCCCCATACTTCCCAGGTGGTGGCCTTGCAGCCAGTCAGTGATGTGGGAGGAGGAGACTCTGGCCAGGCCACTACACTGGTCCTGGCTACAACCCCCTCCCTCGCTTACACCCTCCAGGCAGAGCCACCTGCAGATTGGAAAACTATCCCAGTGGGCTGGGGCCAGATGGACTCGGGTACTGGGACCTACCCAGCCAGTCAGGAATCCCTGGGAAGAGAGACTAGCAGAGCAGGGAGCCAGAGCCTCTAGTCTCCTGCACCAGAGCCAGGAAATAACCAGCCAAGCAGCACATATTCTCAGCCCTACAGTTGATCTTAGCCAAAAGGCCAGGAAGTGATATATTCTCTGACCTAGAGGCCACACATTTACCCAACTCCAGCCCTGTAGGGCAAAAGCAACTTGAATTTCATATAATTTTTATATCTCACAAAACAGAATTCTTGTTTTCATTTTTTTTTCTTTCAACCCTTTTAAAATGCAGCCAGGCATTTCTTTCAACCCTTTTAAAATGCAGCACTCTGGGAGGCTGAAGCCAGGAGGATTGCAAGTAAGAGCTCAGCTTGGGCAACTTAGCAAGACCCTGTCGCAAAAATAAAAAAGAGCTTGTGATGTAACTCAGTGCGAAGCCTCTCAGTTCACTCGCCAGTACCACAAAATAAATTAAATAAACAAATAAAATACAGGGCTGGGGATTTAGTTCAGTGGTTCTGGCGCTGCCTTGCAAGTGCAAGGACTCGAGATCGATCCCCAATACCAAAAATAAATAAAATACAAAAACCATTCTTAGCTTGCAAATTGTACTCAATCAGGTGGGGGTATGGATAGGGTTGAAGGCCATGGCTTACACTCCCGTCCTCCGTCTCCTCTGGACTTAGGCACACACCAAACTTTCCACGAAAGCCCAGACCGTCATTGGCACAAAGCAAAAACTCAAGACTTCCAGGCAGAACCCCAGAGGGCCCCAGTAATCAGGCCAATGGCGCTACTAGCCTTGGCCTTCACCTGGCCGAGGCTGAAGCCCAGCGGGGGGCCGTGGCCCCCAACAGCCCCAGGGCACTTTGGGATCGCCACCAGGTGCCTGCGCAGCTCAGGACAGGCCGGCCTTACTCCATCTCCTTGTGCTGTGCCTCCTCGGGACTCAGATCTTCTTCCACACCGTAGTCCAGGATGGAGCCCACGCCAAAAGCCTTGTTGTGCTGGATCAGGGGTCGGATGGACTCCTGGTCCTCACCAGCCACAAAATGCCCATAGAAAGTCATCTTCATCAGCTTATCGAACAGTCTCTGCCCCATTAGTTTCCTGGCAATGTGGAACAGCTGAAGGGCAAAGGGAAGAAGCTGTTTTGGCTCCTGTCCACCTCTTCCCCAGGAGCCCTGCTTATACCTCCCCCTACATTCTTCGCTGTAACCTCCTCCGTGCAGCCTCCAGGAAGACCACCCAGGGCAGCCCAGCAACTGTGAACCAGTCCTTATCCAGGGCAGAACGGCATGACCAAAGTGCCACCCCTTGGTCTCCACCCCCTGGGGCAAGCACACTATTCCTTTGTGGACTCCCTACCAGGGGGCCAGCTCACAGGTCAGCCCAAGACACATGAGCTGCCTGACCACTGTTTGATGGGTAAAGAAGAGCGTGGTCAGTCCTTCTGGGGGCAGCAGGGGACGTTTTCCTAACACTCTCCATATCCACACCTCCGTAGCACTGTCAGGGAGGAGGATCTGAGGCTACTTTCTACAGTGTGAGTGCCCAGATTTCTCAGTGTTTTTGTTCACTCATATTCTAAGTCCCCAAAACAGTGCCTGGCACAAGGCCAGCCCTCAAACAGTTGCAGAATGATGAACACATACAAAACTCAGCTGAGCCTGCACTCAGCTGGAATGAGGCACGCTCCGACAGTAAACCAGGTGATGGTCTACAAGGGTCTGTGAGAAAACAGCCCGCTCTGGGACCGGGGGCTCTTGTCCAAGGCTGACCAGCTGCCCTGACAGACGTGACCTTAGGAAGACAGCTGCCCAGAAAATGGTTTCGGTTTTCTTTCCGATTACACCTCACCTCATCTTGAATTTCTGCCATTTATTGCTTCAAACGTCCCAAGCTGCTTCTATATGCCAAGCACAGTCCCAGTAAAGTGAAACTAATGAAGGCAATAGAAAGCACCGACACCATTAGGGGAGGGAGATCCCAAGAAGAAAATAGCAAGGTCACTGGCCACATGATCCAGAACAGGGAGACAGAGGCTGTGTCTGTGGCCATGGGTGGGGACAGTCTGCTAACCTGCGCCAGGGAAGGGGAACTTGGCAGGCAAGAACGTGACACAGAGAACCAGGGAGGCCCCCACAGGGGAAGAGCCAAGAAAGGAGGGAATGGGGATAACCAGAGCTCTCTGGATGCTCAGAAGCACAGTCACCAACCTGCATGAAGCCCACACTGCCCCTCGCCAACTCAGCTCTAAGGCAGGAAATGACTAGGGTTTCTCAAGCTACACGGACAATGGGATTCCTCTTTTGTGAGAAACCATCTCTAACCTAAGCCAAAGCATCAGCAAGTCAAACATCTTCACCCTCAAACCACTGCCCCTGCCCATGGACCAAACGCCGGCCATCTTCCCAACTGCATCTGCGCCAGGGCTGCGCAGGCAATCACTCCCGACTGCTCGCAGCCTCTGTGCACTATGATGTTTCTGCATTTCATTCATCAGGCGGATTAGAACCTGGAAAACGGGCACTCAGGAGTAGCTGGAAGGAAAAGACAGATCTTGCATAAATCAGATAGTGCCCAAGTGGCAGGCGGGGCAGACTAAAGGATCTGGAAACCCTTACTCAGCTCTGGAAATGAACCTCTGATGTCCGCATCAGCTGAGCACACCATGACGGAAGGTGGGTAACTGCAAAGTTCCCTGTACACGGCCAGGTGACCTCGTGCAACTACTTAACTTTTTCCACAGCCGCACCTCTCCGAGGAGCAGCAGCCATGCTGCGTGGGTTCCTGGAGTCCCAGTTACAGACAGGGTCCAGAGATAGGCTGTAAGCTCCACGTATGCTGCATGGGGACCCCTCTGCTCTCCACAAGGTGGGCTAGGAAATACCTGCCTGAGTCCACCACATGCCAGGAAAAGGTGGCCTGCGCAGAAGGCTCTGGAAGCACACTGACAGGGTTTATGACAGCCACTTCCAGAGCCAGTGGCCCCTGTAAAGCTGCTGTGGTGTCTTTTCTCTGGTGAGGGTACCCTCTGAGGATGTGAGACCTGCACCAGTAGCATATATATTCATCTTTGCTGTAAAAGACTCAAATGCACAGGAAGCAACAGCCAGGCTGGTTCTCTTTCCATCATCTGTCCTGTCACTCCTAGGCCAGATCACACTGGAGCTCCGAAGCCCTGGACTTTTCTAAATTCTCACTAAGACTGTTCTCAGGTAAGCACAGTCCCCAACTGAGTTCTGACATAAGGCGGCAGTCCCAAACTCAGCTCCCGTACCCCGATGAGCCTAGAGCAGGTCTGACAATCCTACCGTCCCAACCTGAGTCCTCAGCAAGAGGAATTCTCCCCGCAGGCCAGGAGATAAGGGGAGGACTGTTTTCTCGTGAGCCCGCTGGACTGGGTTTTGGTGAGCAGCTCACAGACCCTGGACCTGGCTTCTGCCCCATTTCCTCCAGCATTAGGCACTGAGCCACTGACACCAGAAAGACCACTTACAATTGGTGCCCTGCAAACTTCCCAGGGTCACCTTGAAGTTAGTCATCTCTGATATTCCTAGCTTGGCCAAGGCTTTGTTCTGCTTTTTACTTCCTAAAGGCTTCACACTACTTTAAATCGCTGTTGGTTACTTTTCTCTAGTCGCTGAGACAATATACCTGACACCCAAGTTAAAGGGGGAAAGGTTTATTTAGCTTATAGTTAGTAAGGAGATTCTCTCATCTCTGAAAAATCCCCACATCAGACCTCATAAGGCTTTGCGGAGACACCGAAACACAAACCACACCAGTCGCCCTGTCAAAAGTTGAAAGTTGGTCGTTTGGGCAGCTTCCCATTTTCCTCAACATTGTTCATAGTGGCCTGTCTGGGGTAGCATCAGGTCACAGCTTGTAGAATCCAAGGTTCCCAGGCCAGAACCTCTCCGATATCCCCAGACTTCCCTTTGTGGACCAGGAAGGATGATTATAAATTCTAGGCGATAATTTATTCCCCGCCAGTAACGTACTTCAAAATTAACTAGTCTTTGCTTTTTTAGTGGGTATTACCCGACAAGTAAAGAATTAGGAGGTCGGAAAAGGAATGCAGGAAACGCCTACCTTCCTGGCTCGTCTCACTCCGAGAGGCACAGCTGCCCCTGCTTTACACCGCAAAGCCCACGCTGCGGTTCACGGGATCCGGGGAGGTTCCGCGCGCCCCAGCCCGCCCACGCGGCCACCTGCCCGCCCAC